GTCACCGCGATCGGCAACACCAAAACAGCAACGGTGCAGTTTCAATCCCAGCTTAGACTGTATCAGTAGGGACCCTTTCAAAAAAAAAACTTTCGACGAGAAGGAAAAGACTTTCTGAGGGGGTGAGAAGTTCATAGGCACGGCAACAGAGTCATTTTAGAAGATGAAGAACAAATCTTCAAGTCTTTCTTGGTTTTTGAAAGCACTGTCTCGATTGTATGCAAGGAGTGTTAAAGGCGCTAGTTGAGCGCTACCAAGTTGGCACGAAAAGAGTAACCGATTGCTGTTGCCGCAGATGGGTCTTGTCAGGCCAGAATTCACTGAGATTACCTCCAAACAGTTTGATCTGCACAAAAATGCATCAAAAAGGGCTGACTGAGCTCAAGTAATCTTTTTTCGTGAAGTGACGTTTTCAATGTACTGTTCAGCTGGGCAGTTACAAACAATGAATTTCAGAATGATGGCAGATGATCGACTTCTTGCTGACATGATAGAGTCTGCGCAACCGTCACCGCGAAAGTCACGCCACAGTCTTGGAGACGGCCTACATCATTCGCCTAATGGTTAGCAAACTTATGTTCAGTCAATCTTGAATAAGTCAAACCCGTTTCAACTGTCATGTGAGAATTTTTTTCATTTGTAGCAAATGCTGATCGCTTGCTGAGTGCTTGTATCCATGCGGCTATGCCACAGCCATCTCCATCGTTCAAGAACAATTCAAAAAACGAGGAGGGCGGACGCGGTTGCTCTCCGGTGACCCACTGCGTCCGCCCTTCCCCGCTAATCGCAGGTCACCTCGACAATGTGGAGGATTTTGAAGATGGCTTTGGAAGGTGAAAGCATTTTTGTAATTTTTGATAAGACAAAGTCTTTTGGTAGCATATTTATATGTCAGTGAAAATGTTTCTGAAAAAGTATTTTAATTATCCAATTTTCAGCATAGCTCTCACTCATGCAGATGAGAAGTCACCGTCATGTGACTCTTCAGAAAGGTTGGTTTGATTCCTCAATGAATAAATTGTAAACATATGCAAAATAGCTTTGACTTGTTTACAGTTGGTCTGATAGTGAAATCGAAAATTTTGATAAGCCAGACACCTCCCTCCCTCTTGATTGTTACGTTGAAGAAGATAACATTACGATCGATTGTTCGAAAATAAGGTAAGGACTCGGATTATTACCCTAAGGTTGCATTTGCTTTTGCTTTTAGAATCCTTGGGAGGTTTTTTTTTTGCACTGAGTCCGTGCATAGTTTTGCTTTCCGTTGCAGTTCTACTTCATATGACCGTCCGTTTCCGACAGCAACCGGTGCTGCTAGTTCTACTCACTCGACTCCTGTCAAAGCGGGCCATCGTTGCGGTATACCACACAAAACTAGGTTACCGAAACCTACCCATGGTCGAACTTCTTCTGCACATGTAAGTTATTTCTAGCAACCACTTGTTGAACTCTTTGATTTCCCTTTCCTGATTTCTTTCTTTCAATTCTACCTGGTAAATACCCTTTCAGAGGGCTAGTCGCACGTCCGTAAAGTCAACTCCGAAGAAAGAAACAAAGTCGGCTATTGTGTCCCCTTATAATTATAGAAGACCAGAGGTGCGTTTTCTTTTGAATAATTGAATCAAGTTGAAAAAACTTTTTGAATCACCATGAAGGTGCTCGATTAATCGCTTACCTGTCGTACTGGACAAGGTTGTTTGAAAATGAGCAAAGTTTTGCATATACAGAGGGAAGAAGTGAAAAGAATCACGAGTTCAACAAGTCAGCAATTTTGGAGCACTTGGGAAAATCTATTTCGTATATCTGGGAAACTTGATAGCATCAATTTCTTAGGACGGCAGAAGATTTGGAGATTGTAGGTGGATTACGAGTAATTATGAGTAGGCAGCCATTCTGAAAACTTTCAAAACAAATGCTGATTACACAGGTCTGCTGACCATCCCATAGTGAAGCTCTAGCTATCCCTTACTGTTGGTGTAGTTCTCAGAAGTTATGTCAACGATGTAAAAAGGATCCTAAATAAAACAGTTATGCTTTATGTCGTCCTTATTTTTGGCATTTGCAGTCGGATTCCGGCGCACACGAAGCAGAAATGGAGAAGCAGTCGGACAAATCGGTCAATCCCAGTCAAATGTTGGTAACCACAGTTTGAAACGCAGATTGCTTCATCATAGTAGTTGTTTTTTCCAATTAGTTGTATAATTTGATTAACATGAATATCAGGTGCTATTGACTAACTGCTATCAGTTATCTCTATTCATTTTAATATTTATATTCTCCATATAAATATCTACATATTAACTATATTTTGATACGTGTTATAGGAGATACTGAGCATTTTGGTGATAATTTCATTGCCGCGCATGATTCGTTTGGTTCTTTCAGTGCTTATGTGTACTTAAATTCTCAACTCTTCTTGTCCCTCTCAGCTCACATTTTGCTATGGAATACGAGTTTTCGCATTTTGTGCTTTTCAGAATAAATAAAAGTTTCTCGCTTACTCTCCATACAATGTTTGGTCTAAATTCTTTATGAGGATGAGATCAATATTACCCATAATTAAGGCACAAACAACACACAACAGTAATGGTACTGACTACAACGGAGCAAGGTTGAGCGGACACGACATCGGGAAATGGGCATGCTTATGAACTATTCTGAGGGAGGTCGAGTTGGACTTTAAGGAAATGGAAATGGAAAAATTATTGTGGTGGAGTGGTGCCCATACTAATGCTACTTTCCTAGGGGGTTTCCATAGGACTTTCGCCCACCACGAAAAAACTCGCAATGAACGGAACTTTCAACCACCTTATTAAGGTTCGGCTAGATTGAGTAGTTAGGGCGCTTTGAGGGCTTATACTGTACCTACGGTTCATCATTATAATTGTATGTATAGTAAGGAAGAGATGGAATGAGCACAAGCAGAACGAAGGTTATAGTTGCAGTCGCAAACAAGAAGATCCAAAACAGCAGTCGATCGATAACCTGGAAAGTTTTGATTTCAGATGAAATATCTTCAATGCTAACGAAATTTACACAAAATAAGCTCGATTCTTTATGGAAAATTTGGTAGCTGAAATGTAACAGTGGCGATTGTTGAACGGTCAATGCAAGGTATTTGTTTATTTATTTATTTATTTATTTATCCACTCAACTGAGTGCGCTAATAGAGGGAATTGAGGGCAGGAGGTGTACAACTACAGGAGAGTCTAACCAAGATCAAGATAAAACACGCTGAGCTGAACCAGCAGTGAAAACCCGCTGAATACCAGTATCTGTACTAGGATAGAGGTGGAAAAGAACTCATCTACGAAGACTGGGCCATTCACGCTACAATAGCTGAACCGACAACCTTGAAGAGGAAGAATCCAGATAGCCAGTACCCATACCTGTTGGCCATGGTGCCTCATCCGGGAAGAAGTCACTGGGCCAAGTCGGAACTTCATCACACGGGTATGCCAACCTCCCTCGTGGAATCGACTTGTCGGGTACAGGCAAAAGACAGTACAGAGGGTATTACTATTAATCATGAACAGATCAGAAGACAAATTTATCAAATCAGAAACGAGGAAATCATCCAGTTCCAAGAGGTATTAAGAGTTTAGAAAAGTCACGATAATAGCCATTAAGCATTCATAACAGGCATTCAATAGATGAATGGTATGGTCGTATAAGGGAGTCAAAGCGTCAAGCCGCACAGTAAATGGATCTATTAGGTCTTTCATCTAAGCTTTGGAATCTTTGCACTTTGGTAGGAGATTTAGGATGCAAAGGTAATAAATGGTTGGTGACAGAAACTGGCAAGAACGAATAGCGACTGACCAGTGGCCATAGCAAGCAAGAGTCACTGATTGAGTCGATAGCGCCCTTCGTGTTTGGGTAAGGAATGAAGAATGCACTGCTTGGATTTTTAGCGTTGACCAATCCTGTTTAGGGTGACGCCTCGCATTCGACTTCCCTTCAGAATCGTAGTAGCGTTTTGAATGCGTATGTGGCCTATCCAGTGACCTGCAGCGGCGAGCTCATGTACAAGACAGTGCTTTTATCCTTCCGGAAGAGGGGCGAAGATAGTCTAGTACCAATTAAACCAATACGTAAAGGGGAAGGGGGGGGGGGGGGGGGGGGGGGGGAGAAGGATGATGGGCAAGAAACTTGTTCACTGCCCCCAGCTTGCCCCTAAAACGTTGTTCCATTCACCCAACGAACTACGGTAGACCACGATTCAAGGTCCTGTCAGTTAAGGAGCCTTTCTCGATTTACTACTCATTACTGAAGGGCTGGGGCTTGGCTGAGTACTTCCTTGGGTATGATGAACTGTGTTGCGGCTGACTTCTTCAACCCGGTAGACGGGCAGTGGGAACGATTTTATGCAATCGATCCGCCGCACGCGACTGTCGCGGACCATTTGCTTCGTGATAACAGTTCTAGTGTTCTTCATACAGCTCAATCGCTGAGCAATTATTACTTTTGGCATGAATCTACTTTCAGTTCTTTTGTTTTTTTACTTCTTGCTTGCTGCTGCACTCTGCTACATTTCTTCGCGCGCGGCGTTTCTCTCGCCGCGACGCGACAATTTCGTTCCTACCGCACCACACCCATAAGGGTGAAGGGTTGTTAATACGATACTTAATAGGAATCTATTGTGGGGTTGATCCCAAAAAAGTTATGACTGGTTGTCAAATACATATTTTACAACATGCAAGTCAAGAGACTACCTGTGCTACGTGCCTCCATTCGTTAGCCACTCGTTCGCTTGCGTCCTCGTTTTCCTGTCGCTTAACCAGAACCTAGAAATGGGAAAATGCAATCCTCAGTGCATAGTCGGTAACTTTAGGATTGGGCATTTGGACCAGCTTTATAGGTGCAGTATTCGAATCTCCGAGAATTCCATACAGGAACAAAGCTAATGGAAGAGAAGTAATCGAATAGTTTCATTCACTGACCTGTAAAGTTCTGAGCAGCTTAACTTGAAGATCATCTCCAGCTCGTGGTCGTTTCCGTACTACGCCGTTTTGTGCTACGGAGAATTCAGTTTGTGGAACGTCCAGCAAAAGCGATTCGAGGCGTGCCGACTGGAATTCGATGAGTCACTTGAGTAAAAAGGGGTTATCACAAAATCTTATGACGATGCCACACACCTCAGGGACTCCATTCCCACCAGTCAGCAGACCGGGGCCCAGAACGCTAATGATCTGAAATTGATAAGACGTAGCGTAGATTTTCTCACATACTCGACTTGGGCACCTTGTCCAAAACGAAGAAAAGCTGCATTTGCCCCTTGGATAAGTTCCTGACAGAAGATCTTTCCCTTAGTAGCGAACTTCTTTGTATAAAAGGATGCGCTGACACAGAGAAAAATTTTATTGGCCCAAGGAATTCAATTTTTGGGAGAAAACAAATTCACGGTGAAATCTAGCGAACGATCATTTCCGTTTTCCCTACAAAAGGGGGCATGTAACTTCACGCGAAATGCAGAAACAAATTCGATGTTTCTTTCAGGTGAGATTTAAAGAATAAAGGACAAAGTTCTTGGCGTTAATCGATCCCGTCTGAGGGATGCGCCCCCGCACTGACTTCCACTCAGAATCGTAGTGGCGCAATGAGTGCGTATGTAGCCTCTATAATGACTTGCGGTGGCCAGCCGATGTACAATTCAGTGCTTTTATCCTTCCAGACGAGTCTGGTACCAATTCACCGACCCCGGAGGGATGGAAGGCTTGGTCGACCTAGGCGGGCATCGATTCGTGATTCCAACCCTGACCGTTCGTGTGTTATAGTGCGCCACTTCCCACTACACGACCTCCGCATGGTGAGATTTTACATTTGAAAATTGCTGAAAACCCTACAAATTTCGAATAAAAGGGCTGCAGTCATCGCCGGCGTAATAGGATCAACCCATTCATTTTCTTGTGTCTGAAGGCGAGAAACAGGAGACTGGATCCCAGCTCACAGCGCCAGGCGCTTCTGACAGTTATTCAAATGTCGTCAAGAGCTTCGTAGTCATCTGTCTGCGCTTTTGCTTTGAGTTGAAGTTCAATGATGTTCGATTGAGGCTATAATTTCGGCCCTGTCAGGCTCTCTCAAAAGAATCGTACTGCCATCAAGCGAGCACCACCGAAACTACCGTGGTGAGAGAAGCACAGACGAGCAGGTGGTTTCTGAATGTGGTAGACGAGACGAAAACGGATTGCGCCCCATCCGCTTGCAATCGCTCTATTCTGATGCATCTTATGATACAAATCTTGATATATCTTTTGATCTTTGAAGTAGCCCGCTAATCGAAGAAGGTGCAGTAACAAAGCCACGATCATACCAACCTCCTTCCTCATGTCATCCATTGCCACCCGCACTGACATCCGTCTCATCATACTGTTTGAACAGACGGACACTCTCGCGCTATCACCTAAAAGAGGTTGAAATTTTTTGAAAGTCTTCCACTGCAAGATATGTTTCTACAGCATTTATCTACACTTGGAACCACTTTTGGAAGAGTGTACATCAGAATTATCGTGAACTGCGCTTTTGATTGAGTAGAAAGCAAAGAAATGGAGAAAGCAAAGAACTGGGTAAAGCACATGAGTAGGGAAAGAATATTCTGAGAAAATCGAGTTTTCTGGAAGAACAGAACTAGGCTGTTGAAAAATTCACGTTCTCCTATCTAACCAAGAGCAGTCGCGCATCCCAGGGCAGGGCTATTGTTTACTGCTATCGTTCAGTCACCCACATGTGAGGTGACCTAGACGTAATGGTCCGCCAGGATGGGTATTATTCCACGAAGCTGCATCGAAATAGGTGGGCAAAGAATCGTCATTACTAAGTGCATTTGCTAATACCTTACTGGTTGGTTCTCGTATATGTATTACTGATGAACATTGAAACCCAATAAACCGTCTAGTGAAGGAAATGGAAGGTGTGATGCAGAAGGATCGAAATTGTCGCGTCGCGGCAAGAGGGACGCCGCGCGCGAAGAAGGCGAGAGGGAATGCAGCAGCAGGTAAGAAATACAGGAACAAAAGAGCTAACAGTGGTATCATGCTCCCCCACCCCTTGAATGAAATACCTGTGGTTAGACAGCATGTTAACACGGCTAGCAAAGGAGATTGTATGAATTTTGAACGCCATGAGACTTTGCTCATTGAGTTGACTTAGTTACCTCTGTTAGAAAGTTTCATGCGAAGAAGTCTCCGCAGTCGATCCAGCACTAAAACTCGAGCCCAGTTTGGGACGGGTTCGTTGAATGGGCCACGGTGATGGAAATTCAGCACCTGAACGGACGAAATTTGGCACGAGTATTAGGCCTGGTATAACAACTAGCTTTTCATGAAAGAAAAGATCTACACTGACTTGGCTTCTCGATCCGAGAGTAAACAGTGAATCATTTCTCAAACAAAACAACAAACAACAAAACAAAAACAAAGAATAGCTGATCGCTAGCTAATCAAACAGTTACAGAAAGCCACTGCCTTTTATTGTGTACCAGTCATGTATTGAAAGATTTCAGCGGCAAAAAACTGACCATAACAGTCATGACGACGGACACGGATGTCATGCTCATAACTACGGTAAGATAGATGCCGATGAGCGGCATCGAATCCGACGTCTCCGGCATTTTCTCAGCAATTGCCAGTACGAACACCTTGACGAGGTTAGGAGGTTTTGTTGGATCATATCAAAGGTGGTAAGTTTTAAGAGACTTACGGAAAATGCAAGCAACACAGTGATGCCGAGCGCAATTTTCTCACCGGAATCAGGTGGAAGTACGAACACTGAAAACATCAAAGTCAACAAATATCAATATTGCTTGATTTACAGGTTCGAGGGACCCCAAAGAAGCAGGAAAGAAGGACTTTTTGGAAAGTACAAATAGAATAAGAAATAGAATGGTCCCTTTAAGATACGACATATGTACATGGCTTGCAATAAGGTCCGCTACAGCATTTTATGAAGTATTTGTCATGCATAAATTGCTAACATACAAGTAAGCTTCTATCATCCTAATACGGTCAATGGAATGGGGTAGTGAAGTGGAAGTGGTGACTACTACACACGCATGGTTCGAGAAACGACTTCCGGATCAATATCGAGCCATCGATATCAATATTCAGCCAGTCAAGCCTTCCATTCCCCGGGGGTAGGTTAATTGGGAGTTAAACCCTCGTGGGAGGATAAAACAGAGGTTCTTATATCAGCTGACAACCGCAAGTTATTGTGTAGGCCTCATACGCATTCAAAACGCCCCTACGATTTTGAATAGAAGTTGAATGCTGGGGTGCATCATGGATTGATTTCCGTCAAAAGAATCCACCCTTAATCTGGTCTAAGAGCTTGCCAAGATGCACGTTTCGTTGTCAAAAGCAAAATGAAATTCGAATTTCAACCAGCTGATCTTGAGCGACTCGAAAAATTCACATTTTCAGAAAAGAAAACATGTTTTCAGATCATTTCCATGAGGCCCCAGTGCATTATCGTCGATACTGCTCACGTTACTAAACTGGTATCGGAGTAGTGCATATATTTATTATCTTCCAAAAAAAATACTGTTTCAAAAGTAAAAGTTCCTAGTAAATTTTTTCCCGAAGTCATTCTTTTTTNTTTTTTCATGTTTAGGTCATCAAGCAAGTTAAATGGATTATTCTAACTGTTGTAAAGTTCATGGCGTAGCGAAAGGATGAAGTGACTTACCAAGTAATGTCAGTACTGACATCATGAGACATGGGAAAACGATATTGTAAAGATAGTAGAGCGTTTTTCTGCGGATGTAGATGAAAAACGTGATATCTGGGTAGGGCTCTGGACAACACGTGTATTTGACGACACGTCGCTTCTGATAAACCTACAACGTACAGGCGATTATTTTTCACTTTCAAACGAACTTCTGAATTTCGAAAAATCGTAGGCAATCGGCTGAAACGAACCTTGACCAGGTCGAACTCCCCAGAAGGAACATAGTTGGTCAAGTCGATGTTTTCGCTTCGATTGGTGATATCAACTTGGAACCCATGGTAGGTCCATGAGCCAAATTTCAAGGAACATCGCTGCTCATCGAATGGAAACAACGACACATCAACTAAAATAAACATCACATTTGGCACTAGCCTACAGGGTCAGCTGGGCCAGCCGAGTAGGCAAGTAGGCTGCGCCAAGTTTATCAAGCTGACCTTTACAAGTACTGCGCAACTGCTTCGGAGGTGGCCAGAACACTGTGCCTGTATAAAGCACCATCGCTCGTGAACGCATATAGCCTGCTGTGTAGTCATCAGCACTGAAAAGTTAGGGTTTGAGAGAATAACGTTATTGTCTGGGGGTTTCCATGGATTGACGATGCATTAGAGTTGTTCATTAACAGAAAATATGAAATTCTAGTATGAACAGATCTGAGAGAGAATTCCTTTTTTTTNTTTTTTTTAGTTGATGCATTTATTTAATTTTAAAGTAGACAAGTTCGAAAAATCTTCTGAGATCATCCTTATTTTCTAGTTAAAATCTGTGAAGTACGAGAGCCAGAAAAAGGAATTCATCTCCATCTAGAGGATCTTTCACTCGGCAGTATCAGATCGGCAAATGGCCCGGATAGATCAGAGATTGTCTCGTTTGAATGCCACACCTATGGCGGACGAGTTTCAACGGCGTCGTAGAGGCTGCACTTCTCAGGGGACTCTCATGTTGAAAGTACAAACAATTCTTGACCCATGGTGGCAGTGGAAGGCAGTTTTAAACAATTTCGGCTTGACGTATGCAAGTCATTGTGCAGTTGCAATAATTGAAACCTTGCCCGATTCCCTCATGGTCACTTTTTACTTACAGAAAGCCTTTTTCTACAGAGTAGGCGGTTGTTTGGTTCTTTTGCCACAATGCATCAGTCTACATCAAAATTTCCGCTTTTCAACCCAAAAGGGGCACCTCAAAACTAAGGAACCACTTCTCTTCACCTAGTGTTAGCAGTTTATCTAGAGAGAGTTCAGAGTGTCAAATTAAACCTTAAACGATTTGCCAAAAGGATGTGAGTGCCCCAACCCCGAAAAATCATGGTACGCACTTGTTATAGAGAACAATGTCGGGTAGCCAAATTAGGTCGCATGGAATCCGCAATGATTGGATGCCATTGAAGTCATCCGGATTCCACCTTAACAGCTCGTCATTCCATTCCTGAAACAAGATACTTCATAGACGGAGGAAGAGATCATCTAGCAGAGATGATTAGAGCAGACATTCGTTAGGAATTCACGCCCGATTTAAATCTAATCTTCCAGAGAAAGTAAAATCACAACATAGCTTTTCATGAATCCTCAGTCACTTATAGCACAACTCGAGCATTCTACTACTCTAGCGGCCTTCCTAGTCAACAACCTTTGTTTGAGGTGGGAAAAAGGCTTGAGTGGATCAAGAAGTGAGTGAAATTCAATTGCGGATTAGTTAACAATTCAGCTTCTCTGTGTCGTTTGTTCCTCCCTATCTAACCATTACTTTGCCAGAATCGGTCAATTTGCTCAAATGGGAATAGGTGCGTATTGTATGGATCTGGATAAACCAAGATCTTGTAGGAATTGTCACGATGGGGGGGGGGGGGGGGGGGTTCGGACTACTCTGGGGTGATCGCAGACGTCTTTCGGTGCCGCGACAACCCAACCCCAAAAAGAGAACTTCCTCAGAAACAACGAGTTTAGGAGTCGAATTTGCAGAAGATTTACTACTTACATTGCATACTAACTCTTATAGACTCTCTGTGGGACTAACACACGTTGGCCCCACTTCTAAGTTTCGTATAGGGCTGATGGGCATTTCTGAGCCCTTACAGTAATTGAAAGACATCGATCTACCCCAAAGTGTCATACATATATACAAAAGAACCAGAGAATTTTGAATTGACATCAACTCTAAACCATATTTTGACCCAATGGTACCTCCCATCCTTACGACAGAGGAATTCAGGAAAAAGCAAATTCACTAAGTAAACCTGCTGTTCAAGGATAGAATGAAGGTCCCACAACTATTTTCAGAACGACGAAAACCCTTCTACATGGTGGTTACCCGATATTGCTCCTCCGATATGAGCTAATGAACCAGAATTGTTGCCTTTGTAGGAGTCGGCACAATGGGGGAAACTGCATGTTCCGTCTATGGGCTGCCTTGTCCCAAAAATAGAACTTCCAAACGAAGCCAACAGCTGGTTATCCAACACCTCTGCACTTCCCTATTGAATTCATCGAAACGAACCTGGTCCAACCACACATTGATGGTTAGCACTTGATTTCTCTCGTCCATGTCAAAAATGTTTGTCATGGTCATGCCCAGACGAACGGTTACAGTATGGGAAGCGTTCCGTACAGGACGAACTGACTTCTCGTAGTCCTTCATGAGGTGATACAGTAATCTGAAAAAGAGTCATTTATAGAGAAATGACAAGGTGTGAAGGGAAAACGTACCGCTGTTCATCAGTGTATCGCCTTCCACCCGTATGATCCTCGGTCGGTATTGGAACAGTGGGCGCCTCTGAGACGTTGAGAGGGATCGCGTTCACCAGGGACATAATTGAGCAGAAGATCAACATCTGGACACCTAGAAACAGGGGTCAGCAAAGCTGGCGTTTGGAATCGAAGACCGCATTCAGCAGAGGAGACACGCCCATTTCTTTATTCTAAACTTAAATGCATAAACGGCAAAAATAGCAACAAAGAAGGCGTCGATAGAAATGGATCAGGTGAAGAGCTGGATTTTGAACTCCTAACTTTCCTTCTCTCGGGGATTTCACTATCAAATTGGAAACAGTTGGGAAAGAGCAGTTCCCGTATCATTGCAGTAGGAAACTCAATGGAAATTCGGCAAAAAGTGAAAGAGCATCACACGTCTCATGTCTCCTTCGAACACGTGTCCAAATTCGGTGAAACTGACATGCATTACTGATGAGCGGTTGCAATGGTTTCCTTCAAGGTGAGAAAATTAGACCAAGCTTTGTGGTGATGGGCTGCCATAGAAAAACAGCCCTTTCTCTCTTTCATTCAGTTCTACAGGTGGACAACCTTCGCCCAACTCTAGACACAGAAGTGACGTCCTGGCCGTATGGTTTAAACAGTTACAGTATATTACCCGTTACTTATCTATTGAATGCAATCTCTCCCAAAAAATTGGAAGTTTGATCGTTTTGCTAAGAAATCCAATCAGCACACTTTGCCATGCCTGGACGGCTTTTTGAGATATGAATGTGATCTATCTATCTTCCTCCCTACCCTTGTAGATGTACCAGTAATCTTCCATCAGACACGGCATAGGATAAAGTCCACGTAGGTCTTTTGCTTTTGCAAAGTACACCAGAAATTGGCAACCCACGCCGAAGGGAAAAGCCTCTGAAAAACCGCGTCCGTGACACTTAGAGAACACAGTAATTATGAAAAATTATGAATTCTCTTTTCCAAGTAATTACAGCACGACGATTCAGTAAAACAGCACTCAGTAGGGGCGACGTTCACAATTCATTTTCGCACATTGGCCGTGCCACACCAGGGTT